GCCTTGGGCAGTTTCCTTGCAGAGTTCCTGTGAAAGACCAGATTATTTTGGTCCATTTTAGCTGTTCCGAGTTTGCTGGCATCCACTGCATGTCCACCACCCAGAAATTCCAGGGGTTCTCCATCAGACTAATGGTCTGTAAGAAAAAAGAGAAGTCTTGAGGTGCGTGGGTGGCTCAGTCAGTTAAGCATCTGCCTTCAGCTCAGGTCTTGATGTGACTCCCCATGCATCAAGTCAGAAGTTGATGTATTCCTTAGAACTCTTTGGTAACAAGTAATAAGAACCAACTCATACTAGCGTAAGCAAAAGGAAAAGAAAAGAATGGAGAGAGATCTCCTGGAACCTAAGGATGAAAATGCAGAATCGAGAAGCCTTCATAATTCTCCAGCTCATGTTTATCTCTCTTCAGGCATCTCCTTCATTCTTCTCCCTCCCTGAATACTAGCTAACTCTGCTTCCCTGGTTCACATGGTGAAATATGGCTTGCTCTTACCTTCTTCGATTACTTGTGATTTCTGCTGCATTTAGAAAGTAACTTGCTGGCTCTCAGTCCGATGCCAGCTCCCAGCCCCAGCTGAATCAGTGTCCACTCTCATTTTAGCCAGCCAGTTCAGCATTGATGCCAAGGATGGGGTGAGGAGGGGAGGGGGGTCTTACAACCGGACAGATATCTCAGGTTCAATCTTACAGTCTTAATCCAAATGTCCAGGTTTAGCCAGACAAACACCCAAAAAAAGAAAAGCGAATGGGCACGTTAAATGGATGTATTGAGCCTCACATGATGTGCCCGGTTTTTATCAGTGCTTCTGAAGTTTCCTCCACTTTGGTCAAACCATTGTTGGTTTCCTGCTTCAGGCTGGAGGGCATCTTGATGGCCTGGAAGCCCCTGTGAACAAGATCACTAGTCTTACCTTCTGCACATTCCATTTTTCCACATCAAACGTCCTCATTATAAAATTGTGGATTTTCTCATAAAACCACCCTCTGGAAAGAAGCACAGGATTATTACCTCTTCTCCAACAGCAGCTTTTTCTTCTCGTAGACCCCCGTAGGTATAAGCTAAAGCTTCCTTCTTATAAGAAATGCTCATCATAAGAGAGAGATGAATGTGAAAATGCCTTTTTCTAGACCCTCTGTCTACTCCTGCTACGGGGATTATTTAAACATGAAGAAATTTCATGATGATTTGAAATCGACTACCCCCTCCATCTCCAAGTGCTTCTGGATCACTTCCCCAGCTGTTTAAAAAGTTGTTGAGCCATTAACTGCCACTGAGGCTGCTTGGAGCTCCCCTTGAAATGGGGGTCCCCCAGCTGCAGTACATAATATTAATGAGCAATAACTGACTACCTGCTGCTTCCTCCGCCTGCCCTCCTGGCCCCTCATGCCTCCAGAGTGATGGATGCCCCTGTCAGCATTTCTATTTCTGCAGCTGATCGGACGCCTTTAAATCAGCCTCCTCCAAGAGCACACAGGTTAGGGAAGCTCTTTGCCTTCCTTGGTGCTCTTTGCTCATGTGACCCCAGTGCTCTTCACAAAAAGCAATTCTCATCATCCGGCCCATTATACAGATGAGCAGCAGGGAAAAGATCCAAATCCCATAAAAGAAGGAAGAAGTGGGTCCTGAACCAGATGTTCCTTGAACCCCAGTTTGGGGCAGCTAAGAAGCAAGAGTCCATACTCACTTTCCCAAAACTGAGCACATAGTTAAGTATTTCCAAATGCACATGAGCAACTATAGAAGGGTTGTCCTCTTATGCATTTAATGAGAAATTAATGCATAAGAGGACAATTCCTCCCCTTCCCTGAAGGAGCAAAAAAGTGCTTTTAAGAATTGTAGTATATAGGATTCCACTTTATAAATCCCAGTTTACTAAATGAGCAGGTTACTTTAATTGCTATGAGAAAATGAAAATATGATTTTGCTTTTTTCATTTCAACAAAAGTAAATGGCTGATTTCCACACGCATTAACAGATGATGCAATTTCCCGTGCTTGGTTAAAGGGTTAAGTTGGGTTCTTGCCCCCCCCCCATGTCATTGGGTTGAACAAGCATGGCCTTGACTGTTCCTTGAAGGAAGCATTATGTGGGAATGGAAGCATAGCACCGAACCCATATATCGCCACCATGTGCCAAGCACTGCTCTAGATGGCTTGTGTTGACCCAGTTAACCCTCCCAACAACTCTCTGAGGTAGGGACCATCTGATGGATAACGAAGCTGAGAAATTAAGTGACTTGCCCAAACTCACACAGCTGTAAATAGTACATACAGGATTCAAACCCAAGCAGTCAGGATTTAAAGCCCTGTTATCACTAGGTGAATCCTCTCTATGGTCTGTGTCCCATAGGGAACTCAGGAATTCTATTACTTGTCCCCCACCAAACTAACAGAGCCAAACAAATGGAACCTCCCCTCTCTGAGGATGATAAACTCTGTCTCTGTCTCCTGAAAAGGAGCTAACTTTCCACTCAGCTCCCAGGGCTGTTTCAGATATGATACAGAATTTACTTTTCAATTTTGAAAATCAGTTGTAAATTTGTAAGATTTGGACCTCGGTAAGTTTTTGTTTTTTTTTTTTAATGTCCATTCCACGGACGCAGTCCATCAGCATCCCAAGGGGTGTTTGTCTCAAACATGGAGGCTTAGCGCCACCTAGACTTACTGACGCAGAGCCCCTAAGGGTAAATCCCAGGAATCTGCATTTTTAGGAAGCGCCCCAGTGATTCTTACAGAGAGTAAAGGTTGACAGTCATTATAGAATCGCATCTGGAAGTTTTCAGAGCTCTGCATATCATCAGTTCCACTGCGGATGATTATAGAAAGCTTTCAAAGCCTCTCTGCATTCAGTAGCTATTTCAGGGAGATTGTAATGTGTAAGAAGTGTTCCAAATTGTTGTAGTCTCCGTCTGTGTGAACCAGCTGGTTGAGAGAGCTTGGATAATTTCCCAAGGGACTTCAGTGAAGTGGACCCTGGTATACTCTTTACCTATGAAAATATAGAAAAGACACTGTCTTCCACCCTGGGCCCAAAGCCACTCTTTCAGAATGCGATTCTGATCATCTCTCTTTTTTGCTGAAAAACCCTTCCGAAGAGCCTTGACATCGACTCGCATATACTGGCCATGTCCATCTCTCCCGCTTTTCCGTCAAACATGCTCACTCACCGCTCCGTTCTTCCAATGCGCCAAGTACCACGGCAGCATCACACATGGCTCCGGGGCATAGCATGGACCTCAGCATCTAGTCAGCATCCACTCTCCCTTCAGAGCTCAGCTTACGTGGCTCTTTCTCAGGGAAGCCTTGAGAATAGAATGTTCTGTTCTCTACCACTTCTAACCCTTTCCTGCACGGCGCCCACCGGTTTTCCAGTCTGCTTTTGACTGCATGCTGCCATTATTCACATCTGTCTTCACAAGCAGGTGATAAGCAAGAACCATACTGTCTTGTGCACTTTGGTGTCTAGCAGCGCCTGTTGCAAGTTCAAGTAACATCCTATTGGAAAGAAAAGTCTTGATTCTCGGTCTGAAAATTAACATCCATTCTATAAACAAAGATGTCACATTTTTCATTTCCACCCCTATCATTAAGCAGCTGTGGAAACGGAAAGCCTGAACCCCAGACTTTTTTATGTGTTCTAGATCCCTTTAAAGAATACATCAACAGCTCTGATCCTTATGCTATTTTTGAATTGCTCATGGTGTGGTTACACAGTCATTCGTGGTTAAAAGAAAACTTAATGGAAGTGGAAATTTTTGATTTTGAAGAGCCACAAAGTAACTAATTATCTATTTCCTCTTTCACTTCAAAGGCTGAAATGGTTTCTTATTATTGAATAGGGCAGGGAGCACATGAGCCTAACTGGTGATTAGATGGGGTTTATTTAATTTTATTTTATCACTACTTTCAAGTGTACCTTTGGTCAGCTATATGAACTACCAGGCTTATCTTTTGTGAAAAGGCACATCTTATTCCCACAGTAATTTGATTACAATGACACTTGGTTTTAGGCTAATTTTGACACGAAATGATGAATTCTAAGTGTTCCTAAATTATAAATATGTTAAAAGCCAGAATTGTTCATCTCTTAAGACCTATGTAGCATTTCGCAAACTGTGGACATTTTAAATTATTATAAAACACTGTCTTCTGGGTATGTGAACTCAAAAAATCACATCCCACATAATACATATATATCAAAATCTAGCAATTACAAGTGGCTGTTCCCCCACGAGTTTTTTTTTTAAATGCCTCCCTGAGGAAGCAAGTGCCAGTGACCTCCCAAATTCTCTCTTGATTAAATATAGGTCTCATTTTATGCATTACCGTGGAAAAGAACGAGAAAGATTCAGGCAAGCTAGTGAGCAAAGCAGTCCCGAGGATTATGGATCACGCCTCGTACAGTTTAGATTACACCTTCCTCACATGGTCGCCTTCCAAAACCGAAAATCTCACATTCATATCAGAAAAGTCTGTGGGAAATGATAGATCATATTAGCTAACAATTGCGATTCATGCCTACACTATTCTTAACACTTTTATATGAATTACCTCCGTCCACACAACCCAAGGAAGTAGGAACTGTGAGTAAGCCCATTTTACAAACGAGAAAACTGAGACAGAGTGTATCACAGCCACACAGCCATTTAGCTATTTTGGACCCAGGATTCTGACTCAGTCAGCCTGGCTGCAAAGCACCCACTCGTAGCGATCAAACCCGACTACCTACCATACACACTTTAAGAGCAGTGAATCAGGATGCTTGGCCCTGCGTGCTTGCTTTCTCTATTTTACCTTTCGAGGATGGGGGTGGGAGGCGCGTTTTGTTTTGTTTTGTCGGAAAGGAGAAGCCGAGAGTGAGCCTTCTTTCTTTCAGAACATCTTTTTCCAAAGCCATTTGCCTTCATCTGAGGCCAGGAACGACACTGATTCAGAAGACAGAGCACTAATGAGCTTCCTTCCCCCCTCTGTCCCCTCCCCCGTCTCTCCCCACTCTGCAGTTAATAGCCAAGATCCCCACCATCACGGCGGTCTGCAACTTGCACGGGGAGAAGCTGCAGGTATTCAAACAATCCCATCCAGACATAGTGAATACACTCTTTCCTCCATTATACAAGGAGCTCTTTAATCCTGACTGTGCCACCGTCTGCAAATGAAGGCGACCAGAGGATTGTCTCCTAGTCATGGAATGCATCACCATTAAGACAAAAGCAATGTGTTCATGAAGACTTAAGAAAAATGTCTACTGCAACATTAGGAATGTCCTGCACTTAATAGAATTATTTTTCACCGCTACAGTTTGAAGAATGTAAATATGCACCTGAGTGGGGCTCTTTTATTTGTTTGTTTTTGAAATGACCATAAATATACAAATAGAGGACACTGGGTGTTATCTTTTTTTTAATTTTATTTTATTCGGGTATGTTTTGGGAGACAACTGTTTATAGAATTTTATTGTAGATATATACGAGAACAGAGCAGTACTTTACATGATTACTTTCCCTGTTAATTGTTCAAATATAATTTAAGAAAATTCCACTTAATAGGCTTACCTATTTCTATGTTTTTAGATAGTTGATGCATGTGTAAATTTGTAGCTGTCTTGGAAAGCACTGTGCATGTATGTAATAAGTATATAATATCTGAGAATATTATATATGACTATTACTTACACCTGCACATGCACTGTGGCTTAAAATACCATACCCACTAGCGAAGGAGGTTCAGTCAGGCTCTCTCATATTATTTCCCTTCTGTGTTATATGTTACCTTTATGTTAGACAATCAGGATTTTGTTTTCCCAGCCAGACTTTTCAACTATCGTCTATGGCAGGATGGTACCAATTCAGAGATAAGTCTATAAAGGAATAAATATAATGCACAGCCTCTGTATAAGAACTCTAGCTCTATCAGTGACATCAAAGCCTTGTCAGGATGGTAAATATTGGCGGGGGGTGGGGGGAGAAGTATTTGGAAGCCATTTTCCTGTTTTAAGAATTAGGCCACAGTTAATATTGTGGAGTCCAGGACTTTTTTTAACCAAACAATCACGGTTTCCTATTTTTCACCAGGACACGCAAAACACTTCTTTTTTTCCTTTGGATTTCAGGCTGGGAAAGAAACTGATTTTGGTGCTCACTGTATCTTCAGCAGAGAAATGCAGTCTGTAGGTTTGACCACCAGCAACTTTTTCTAATAAAATCAGAGTCACAGCGGAAATCAGAACCCAGGGTCTGGATGCCATTTCATGTAAACATGTTCTCTCTAACCTGTTTTGTTTTGGTTTGGGTTTTGGGGGGGGCTTTTGGGGTTTTCTTGTGTTTTTTTGTTTTTGGCAAAGAAGAAGTAGAAAGAGCACCTACAAAGTAAAGAAGCAGTTCTTTATGTGCATTCTCTTTGCTCAGTTTGTTAGAAAAAGCAGCAATAAAGGGGGAGGCAGGATTTTATATGTCCTTCTAGTGTGGAGCGTCTAATTTCTCTCAACTCCAAAATGCTGTACTGTAAGCCTACAGCAAGAACTCGACAGATAACGAAAACACATCTAAGTTATTCTGTAGAACTAATACACCCCAAAGCCAAAACTCTTTCCTGTGCAGTTTGACATTGCATCATCCATCTAGCCTGGGCTTACTTTTTTTTTAGCAACTTGTACAAAGTACAGAATGCAAGAGGCGAGCTGAGGCTTAGTGAATTCAGACTTCCTAGGACAAGTGTCCCCTCTCCACCTGCTCTGCAAGCCAGCTGAGTACCAGGAAAACGTAAACCCCAAGCAGCCTGTTCGGCCTGGGCTCTGGAGACCCAATGCCTTGGGTCGTAGCTGACCCCAAACCAGAGTTGTTAAAAAACCTAGAGCCGAGCTCTGTGTAAAAGACAGTGACATGCATGATCTCCCGTAAGCGCAGCCCAGCCACCAGCTCACGAGGCCCCGCCCTTTCCTCCTCGTCAAACACACATGCACACCTGCTTCATAAAGTTTCCATTGGTGGCAACTTTGATTTCCTTTTAATCTCTGACGCTCTCCTAAAGTTACATGGTCTTGAGAGCCATCTCTGTGATGCCACAGAACCCCTCCTTGATGATCAGACCGTAGCGCTAGTCTTTTCTTCTAGAGAACAGAGCCTTTTCGCACCTCATGATTGATGAATTCCAAACCCATGGGGAAAAACAAAAAGGCTTTAAAATAATGACTCTCTTTCTCAACTACTGTTATATTCAATTAATTTAACTACATTGAACCAAATTACCTTCGGTGTCTAAGAAGACAGCTGCAGACTGCCTATTATGCCGCTGCAGGGACTTGGTTGTTTCTGGTGTAAATGTCACTCCTGCTAGCTCTTTGTATAAAGAATTAATTCCAAGAGTCATATTTCCTTCTAATGGAAAGATTACTTTACTGATTGCTAGGAAAACAGGGTAATGGAAGGCGCTCAATTAAACCAAGCCGTTTCCAAACGCAATGTATGTTTTATGATTGGCTTGTGATAGGCAGTGCTTAATGTGTCTACTTGGTGTTTCCCTTTGAGCTTTGAACTTATGTCAGACTTTGTTTTCATTGTTCTGTTGGCCTAGTGTTTTCCGTTGGCCTGAAATTCCTGCTCCGTTGCAAAGGGAATCATTTGTTTCCTCCAGTCTACCTTAGAGGATTTAAATTGGCTCAATTGATGAAGTGGCTGAGAATTTTTTCCTTCCCTGTCCCATGGGTGATGTAGGAAAAGGATTGCTCCCCACATTTTGCCTCAGGAGGTGCTGGATTTGAGTTTGTTTGCCGTTTCCACCAGTGCAAGCATTTCACTGGGACGGCAGGAACCTTTTGAAGCGAGGGGACGGGAAACGGCTAGCGATTGAATCAGAACAAAACAGTGGAAACCAGTATGTGCTCAGCCTGCCTCAGTAGAGAAGAGAGATTTCCATTTTGCGCCCCAGTTGCCAAATCTGTCCCTGAAAAGAGAACCCGGTCATATTTTCAGTGGTAACAAAAGCCTTTAAAAGCTGCCTTTTGAACATCTCCTATGACCACATCTCAAGGTATTTTGAAATTTGGTTGAGGACAACTTTTTGTACCACATGCCATCTTTGTCCCTTCCCAGCACCTTCACACTACAATGCGCACTGGACGAAAGAACCCATGAGCTTCACTTCATGCTTCGTAAATGACAATCACTGCTTGACGCAGATGTTGCACTGTATCCACTCAGGGATGTTTCATTAAAAAAAAAAAAAAAAGTACATCAAGGAGGAGGGGGAAAAACAGGAAAATGACAACAAAATGTAAACGGCATAAATTAAATATGCCAACAAGAGAACCTCTCTGACAAGGCTTTCAGAACAATAAGCAGTAACTTTGTGTTGTTAACTCTGTGGACTTGCTGGGAAGTTGCACACAAATAAGGACAACTTGGTCTCATTTTCTAAAATCTGCTAAGAGCCAGATAATCCAGCTGCCCCATTAATGGGAATATGCATCTCCCAAGCAAACCCAAGCTTCCTAAACAAGTCCTGAGCAGGGAAAATACAGAAATCTAAGTGGCGTTAGCGGACTCTGCCAAGGGAGGTAAAGTTGTGTGAATTCGAATTCCAGTGTATCTGTGATCTGGAAAAGGAAAGGCGAATTCTGGAGGGAATAGAGAAGAAGGGATTCCAAATCTGGCTTGATACGCCACACATATTCCTATTGTCCACAACTTGGGTCGCCTTTGTATCCCTTATTCTGTAGCTTCCCCTCCCTCCCCCCCAGAGAATGAAAGCTGAGGGTAGAGATGTACTCTACAAACATACCCTTTCTGGATTTCCCTCATTTGAATACTGTCTTCAGCGTTCTGGAATAAAGGACCACTGTGTAGGTATAAACAGAGAATATAGTGGTCTCTTGGGTAATGTGACTTCTTGGGCAGAATCTGTGACACCTTAAATCACAGTGAACTCGACATTATTAGCAAGAGGTGCCAGGGAGACCATCAGTACATTTCCTACCACAGCTGCCTTGTCCAACACCTAACTTCACGGCAGTCAAGCTAAATTGTTTGTAGAAAACCACACACATGACTAGTCAACTCACGCTCACTCTCCACAACCCCATGGGTACCAGGTTTGAATGCAAAAGCGATTCTTCCGTCCCAAGGACAACCTAAAACTTAACGAGCTTCTTTTGAAAACATCAGTCAGATGCAAACGATGTCCGTTTTGTTGCACGTGCTTTGTTTCCATGTACTATAGAAGGAAAAATTCCACAGCTATTGGAAATTAGAAATAACTTTTTCCTGACTCTCTTTTCTCTGTAAACGTTTGCTTCCAGTGAAGTTACTACAGTTGGCAGCAAATTCAGGCAAGGATGCCTGTGCCCTGACAGAGCCACCATTCGATAGAACAGCAATAACTTGAAAGTACGCATCTGTAGTGAACCTTTGCACAGAGTCCCCTGTATCAAGAAGATGAAAAGTCCACCATCTGCTTTAGATGAAGTGATATTTAATTTTTTGTTTTCAACTGCCAATAAGCAGCAGGCTGGTATGGGAAACCAGGTGGGTCATCAGACGGGAGTTGACAACCTATTTTGTGGAAGGGCGCGGGGACAGGTCTCAGGACCCAGAGGTACATGTTCATTTGAAGCAAGGGTTAAAAATTCAAAAGCCTAAAAGGGCCAGGGAGTTGATGCAAATGAGCGAGAGCAGTTCAGCGGCCAGCCGGCAAGGAAATGCCCCATCTGAAAAGGGATATCCGAAGGCTAGCTAAAGCCCAAGTGTTGCTAACAGTTCTGAATCTTATAAAATCTCCCTAGTTGTAAGTGATGTCAGTTGATTCAGAGCTGAGGGCAGACCAAACAAATACATCTCCGAGCAGAAGAGGGTCCACGGTGTGCAACCTCTGGTTTAAAGCAAAATTGAATCTAGCGGCCTGTTTCCTGGAGTAAGTCTGGCCAGACAGGACTCCGAATGAATTAGAGAGGGGGGTGGGGGTGGGCGCGGAGCTCTTGCCCACTGATACTCAACTTGGTTTCCACATCTGACTGTCACTCCCAGAGGATATAGTAAGAGTTCAGCAGGAAAAAAAAAAAAAAAAAAAGCAATCTAAAAATGCAAGCGATTCAATTTAACCATGGCTTATGAGAGACATTTCTATTTGTCTTGCCCAGACTCCTAGCTTCATAGAGCCAGGTGGCTAGGTTTCTTGCCACTTTCTTCTTGTCAAACGCATGATCTTTACACTTTTGAGTCTCGATATGTCTCTTTAGATATGTGGCTTCGATATCTGTGACACGTGTTTACTTTCCCTTAGTTGTATCCGCAGAATGTATTCTGTAGTCATGATCACGCAGTCCTCCATGTTCTGAAGTGCAGGACCTGGGATTCCTATGCAGCTGATGGAGGTTGTCTGTGCACTTTTTGCCTAAGCTGCTGAAAATCCTCCGAAG